TTATATATATATATATATATATATATATATATATAAGTACTTTAGAGAGGATGAGCTCCTCTACCTATTGCAGAAATGAAACTCAAGAACTCATATTTGACAAACCACTCTACCCACCTAGCTTTGAATCTATTCCTAATTTTCTTGGGTAAAACTTTTGCTGGAGGGAGTGAGTGACCAATATACGCCAACAGGAGCATATAATCTTTTGGTAGATATGTTGTGCTCCTAGTTTGTCGTTTTCTAGGCTTTTTTTTAAGGGCACTTTGGTCTTTTCTCCAGGACGACAAGATGTGTGATTCCTAATAACGGTGATGGGTAATTTCGAAATTTAAGGAGAAAACGATTGCCATTAATAATTCCTATGATAAGGAGCCAAGTTTTTGAATGCTTGTCTGAAATTATATCATACTAAATCCCTGAAAAGATGAACTTTAATTCCACGACCAAAGATCTGACGGTTCAGAAAGTGCACCGTTGCCCAAAAATGCTTCTTGGGCGTCCGATCATGTGCGGCAAAATAGAAAGAGAAGATATGCCACGAGGGCATCGAGATAAACGGCGAATGGCGTCACGTACCGTCGGACCTTATTGGCGTGGATTTCGGAGATTTTCAAAATGGACGGTCCGGATTCAATCTAAGGGATCTCTAGAAGACTGATTATAATACAAGAAGGCGCGATGGCCCACTCTTGGTCTTTTTCAACGGCTCGTTTCACAGTGCCTGCTCACCAATTGAAATTTTTGTTCCTTTTCGTTTTCTTCTTTTTGTCTCTTTTTGTATATTTTACCTACATTTTTGTTTGGGGGACAAAAAGTTGCCTTTAAAACGTTATTTCGCTATTTTTAAAAGGCAACCTATCCGGTCTGCTCGGGGTTCGCCCGATCAGACCCGAATTCACTGGACCCAAAATAAAGTGGGGACCCAGACCCGATTGAACCCAACCCAAAATGTAATATATCTATATATTTAAATATATTTAAATATGTTTCATATATTGGTACTCAATAAATATTATCGGACATGGACCTGAACAAACTCGGACCTTACTAAACCCATACCCAAATAGTATTCGAGTCCAACATTTGGATCCGGACCTGCCCTGTTGGGTCCAATTTTTATGTACCCAAATCAGGTCTATCCCTCGGGTCCTCGATCGATCAAGGTCCATTGTCACCCTTTATATGAGCCGGTGTATTAGGAAAAAATTTATATAAGGTCAACAACTTGATACCTTAATGTTTAGAATTAAAGTGCACCTCTAAAATCTTTTAAAAGTGGCTATTTTGATGTTGGAAATATTAAATTGATCATCTCGATATCGAGATGTATGGATACAAATAAAAAAAAAGAGATTTTAGATCCTAAAAATAGTACATCATGCAACACAGTATCTGGGCTGTTTATTCTCAAGATTTCCATGCCGTTATAGATCTTCTTGATTTGAAGAACTTTTAGAGTTTAAAAATTTACAATTAGAGATAAAATAGATTCTCGCAGTATCCTAATAATTTTTGACACCACAAATGCTTCTTACGACAAAGGAGCATTGATTTCG